AAAAAAAAAAAAAAAAAAAAAGACTGGAAAATAGATCTTGGGTCTGCTGGCTCTTTAACCTACACTTTTCCATCAGTTTTTCGGACCTTGTTCTTATCTTTTTATTGTTAGCATGGTTATCAGCCATAGCTCTTTGGTAGGGCTCTTGAGTCACTTTGAACTTGAGGCCAGTCTGGGCTACAAAGTGAGTTTCAAGTGTGCCCAAACTACAAAGAGCAACCCTGTCTTGCCAGAAACAAGTACCCCCCAAAATAAAGGGAAAAAAATCTGGCCTGACTTTTCTACCATTTTATTCACTGCCTATCTCTTGGCCTCACTGTATCCCTCAAACAACTCTAACACAGCTTCTCAAAAAACAACTCCAGCCCTATCATCTTTCCCTTTTAACCTCGCAATAACTTTACTCCAAAAAAGTGACTTAACCAGTTTCCAAAAAAAGAACCATAAAAGGCTTGAGAGTGTAAGGAGGGCCATTGCTGGAGGTCGCGGAGACTCTGAGACCGCAGGATTAAGCACAGCAGAAGGCTTTGCTGCTTTGTTGCTCACCGCCCCCCAGGTCCCGCTGGCACTCGCGGCCCTTGCCGCTTACCTGAAGCAGGTGGGTCAGCCGCTCACATCCTTCGCTGTGCAGCCGGGAACACCACTGGCTCAGCACAGATGTCCCTGACATTTAAGGAGCATCGGTCGCCCTGGACGGGCACGCTCAGCCTGCACGGTGATTGGCTGTTGCCAGGAGTGGGCGTGAGGGACCTGCGCATGCCCACTGAGCCAGGGCAGGGAGGCGAGTGTGAGCTCTCCCTTCGCTGAAATCCCATTATTCCGGGCTGGGGTCCGGCCCTGTGATCCAGCTGGCGTTTAGCACACATGCGTCCTTGGATTCAGTCTCCAGCACCAAAGCAAAACAAAAATTGCCCCTGTCAATCTTTTCACTTTTATTATTATTATTAATTACTGTTATTGTTGACAAGATCTCACTCTGTAGCCCAGGCTGGCCTTGAACTCCCCAGGATCCTCCAGCCTCAGCTTCCCAGGTGCTGGGATTACAGGCAGGCGCCTCCACTCCTTAATCTGAATCCTTTTAGGTTCTTTTTACTGTGTTTTTACCCCTTGAGCAACTCCAGGTTCGCAGTAGGCTGGGCTGACCTCACTGCAACTGGGTAGGAAAGTTCTCTGCCTTGTCCTCCAGCCAAAGGGCAAGGGCAGGGCCGAGGAAGGAGAGGTGACCTTGGAACAGGACGGGAGCTTGAGACCAAGTAAATACAGGTGTGCGAGGTGGTGCACGCCTATAATCCCTGGACTCGGGAGGCTGAGGCGGGAAGTTGGTGAGGACTTCGAGGTCGGCCCGGGGCAGCACAGTGAATATGATACCCGCCTAAACTACAAAGAGAGACCTTAGGCCTGTGTCGGCGAACCTCAGAGAGCGAGGGCCCAAACTACGACCCCAAACCCACTTATCTTTCGCAAAATGCCAACACTGCAATTAGAACTGAACACCAAGGGTTTCGTTTAGAAAAATCAACTCATGGACTAACATCCTTTGTCTTCAAAGAAAAGCACAATAACAGAGCTTTCAATGATACAAATAGCTTTTTGTTCAAAGGTAAATGTTTGCATTTGGGGTGCTCGTGCGTAATCAACCCGATCTTTGCTGTTGTGTGGGTGCTGCTAATTTGTCAAACCTTGGCTCATACTTTGTTGTTTTTGTTTTGTTTTGTTTTGAGACAGGGTCTCACTATGTAGTTGAGACGGACCTGGAACTCACTTTGTAGCCCAGGCTGGTCTCGAACTCACAGCAATCCTCCTGCCTCAGCCTCCCGAGTGCTGGGATTAAAGGGGGGGGCGCCACCACACCCAGCCATACTTTGTTTTTTGACAGCAACACACGCAGCACTCAGGTCACCTGTTAGTCTGTTTCTTATATCAGATTGATATAATTAAAAGTTGAAAACAGCTGCTCACAAGCATAAGGCAATGCAAAGAAAAACAATCCCAAGCCTTCACTGACTTAAAATTGTTTAACAGAGAATTCTGCACTTTAAGGATTTCTTGTTCGGAACTATCAACTGGGCTGACCTTTGTCACCCCTCACACCCTGTGTTCTCAAGAGTCACACACAGGTCATAGAATTCATGTTTCCAGATAGAGCATTCTTGAAATTCCAAAATTCAATTTCCAAAATCTAACCAGTGTGGGCAGAAAAGGTCAAGTTCTTCAGATTTGTGTTTATCTAGAGAAGCCAGAAAATGTCAAAGTTGTTATCTTACAGACTAGATAAATCTGTGACTAGAATTCTCCTTTAGGCTGATTGTGGTGGCTCACACACCTGCAATCCCAGCACTCGGGAGGCTGAGGTAGGAGGATCTCTGTGAGTTCGAGACCAGCCTGGGCTACATAGTGAGTTCCAGGTCAGTCTCAGCTACATAGTGAGACCCTGTCTCAAACAAACAAACAAACAAAAACAAAAACCCCACAAAACCTAAATTGTTTTACAGAATTGTACACTTCAAAACTGCTTCCTTTTTGCAAATAGAGAGGAGACCAAGAGATGGGATTGGGGACAAAGAGGAAATGGAGGATGTAGCATGGTGAATGTAATCATTGTGTACTAATAAAGGTAAAACAAAACAAAACAAAACAAAAAAAACAACAAAGAACACAGCCCAGAGAAAGTACTCATTAGATAAGAGGACAGTGGAGTAAACACTGTGTAGGAAGCTGCCTGTGAAGGTCTCACAGGATGACCTGGGCTCCCTGTGAAGAAAGAGAGCAGAAAGGTGGAGGTACAGACATTTGGGGGACACAGTCAAGATTTGTCTTCCACTGGGCATGGTGACTCACACATATAATCCCAGCTGAGGTGGGAGAATCTCTGTGATTTTGAAGTCAGCCTGGGCTACACAGTTCAAGGACAGCACGAACTATATAGTGAGACCCTGTCTAAAAACATCAAAGGATTTTGTCTCTTTCCCAGCAGTGAATGACAGCTGTTTGAACCAATTTATGGAATATGAGTAAAATCGTGGTTTCATTCGGGTGCACCTCTGTAATCCCAGCACCCGGGAGGCTGAGGCAGGAGGATCAGAAGTTGAAACCCAGGCTAGGCAACCGATGATTTAATGAGACCCTGTCTCAAAAACAAACAAACAAAAAACAAAACAAAACAAAAAAACCCAAAAAAACAAAAACCCCCCAAAACAGGTCTAGGATGTGGCCCAGTGCGAAGGCCCTGGGTTCAACCCTCAGTACTGAAAGTAGTAATATCACTGTGATTGGAGAAAAGGCAACATGTAGAGGAGAGGGTGAGGTCACTTGGGGAGAGTGGCAGAGGGGGACACGGAGGTGACTCGGACCCAGGATCTGGGGGAGGCCTCGGGATGAGGAGATGAGGCTGTTAGGAGCTAGGGTCCCTGTACCAATCGCGGACTCAGTCCTGAGGTGGGACCAGTGGGAGCCTAAGGGCCACTGCACCCCAGGACCCGGATTCCTGCCCCATTTGGGGTGCAGGGTGCCCCTGTCCACCCCACGCCTGCACAGCCTGGAGATGGTGCAGAAACAGTTCACAGCGAGGTTGCAGGACGACATATCCAGGTAGACCCTGGAGCCTACAGCGTCCCCATCCAACACAGCTGGGGTTAGAGTGTTTGTTCTCAGCGGATTCGCTTAAAAAGTCCAGGGCGGGGCCGGGGATTTAGCTCAGCGGTCGGGCGGCCTGCCTGGCAAGCGCAAGGACCTGAGTTCAATCCCCGGTACCAAAAAAAAAAAAAAAAAATGTCCAGGGCTCAGAAGACCCATACCAAGCCCCCCCCACCAGGCGTAGGAACAGCCAATCACCGGCCACCCCCTTGAAGGGAGGAGGCACAGGCCCATGGGCGGAGCCTATATGCTCGGCCACCATGAGTACTTCCCGGGGGAGAGCAAAAGACCAGCTGTCTAGTCTCCACCTGCAGGAGTCCAGAGCCACCTGTTCCAGTCAAGAGGACAGGTGCCACTGTGTGGCGCATTGAGACCTGGGGCATCCCGGCCTTTGGGGCTTCTCTGTGCCTGAGTAGAGATTACAATGGGAACAGGATAGGGGCTCTTAAAAAGGCAACAGTGGGACTGGGGGTTTAGCTCAGTGCAAGATGCCCCGGGCTCATTCTGGCACCAAACATTAAACACGTTCTGCTTATGAGGAATCCCGCCCTTGTGTTTATTATGCTGATTGCCTTGTTTGGTTGCGCTTTTGTTTTCAGTGCTGGGGACTGAACCCAGAGCCTTCTTACGGAGCTACACTTCCAGTCCTTTTTTATTTTGAGACACCCTCACTTAAGTTGCTTAGACTGGGCTGAAACTTGCGAAAGTCCTGCCACTGTCCCGGAGTTGGCAGTTACAATCCAGGGCCTCCAGGCCGGTTCATTGTCTTTCTGGGGGCGGGGTGGGCCGGGGGTCTCACCGCACTGGTGAGAGCTCTCCCACCAAGCCACAGGATTGCCTTTTATTTCCAAATTTTTCTGAGTTTATTTTATTTTTGGTACCGGGGATCGACTCAAACGAAGCGGGCGACAGCACCACTGAGCTAAATCTCCAGCCCAGAGTTTGTTTATTTTATAGGGAGGGAGAGTAGGCACATTACCCATTTGGAGCACTTTTAAATGAGTATTTGTAGGGCTGGGGGTTTAGCTCAGTGGTTCCAGGGCCTGCCTCGTTAAGCGCAAGGGCCACAAGTTCTATCCCCGGTACAAAAGAAAAAAAAAAAAAAACAAAAAACCCTCAAAATTAGTATTTTAAAAATCGTCACATACCCGTAATCCTAGCACTGGGGGTGGGGGAGCCTAGACAGGAAGATCACAGTTCGAGGCCAGCCTGAACTACAAAGTGAAACCCTGTCACAGGCTGAGGCTCAGTGGTAGACTGACCCTGGGTTTAATTCCAAGTATTGGGAAAAAATTTTAAAAGGTGTGGGGGGGTGTAAGATGTCAACTGTTCTCAAATTAATTGAATGTAAATGACAATTCCAAATCCAAAGAGCATTGCTGTTCTTTGTTGAACGTTCTCAAATCCCCTATTTTGGATTTACAAAATGTGAATCCCCGAACAGAAGAAACCCAAGGAGGAAAATATGAAACTAAACTAAGGTTTATGAGGCAAGATCAGGTCTAACGAGGAGGTAGGGATGCAGCTGAGCAGAGGCAGGGCGTACCCTGTCCAAATGGGAACCAAACTACAGATGGTGCAAGCACAGGGGCACCTGCGGAAGAGTGGGTGGGGTGCGGGGCATCGCCCACTGGCCAGACACTGGCAGAACCAGTGAGTGTGGGGCTGGGGAGGCCACCTGATGGGAGAGCACCTGCCAAGAAGGTGCATGGTCCTGGGCCTAACCCCCAGCACAAGGAAAAAATAGATACCGAGAAATATTTAGGTAAACTGGTAAAAGTTGAATGTGACTACCTCTAAAGAGCGAACCTGGTCCAGGAATCATATTTGTCTTTACCACAGGCATAATTTAAAAAAGGAAAATAAAGCAGCAATACCGAAAAAAAAAATGTACTTTATTGACTACAATTAAGAGCAGTAGTCCAGTTAAATACATTTTTCAAGTATTTTTATAACTTCTAATAAGACTCCCTTATTGACAAAGTATGAACTATAATTATTTTTAGAACCTGCTGAAACAAAATCAGTGAAAACTGAAAAAAAAAAAAAAAAGGAAAAAAAAGAACCCATCGACATCTATTTGAAATTGCTCGATAACTGGTTCAATTGTCCACCAACTGTAAAAACAAACAAAATGAGGATTTCCAATAGCTCATCATTCAGAATCTGTTATGGTACAGATTCTGAGGGGTCGTGCTTCAGTTCCAGTGTAGAAATAAGGCCAAAGTGTTCCTCCAAAGTAATCATTAAAAGTATACAGAAGAGATCGATCAGTCAAATTATAAAAGGAAACCTCACCCATTTCAGTGTCTAAGAAAATGCCAATCTTCCTGGGTAACACTTTTGGCAAAAGATTAATTTTCTTAGGACCACATGCAATGTAACTAGTGTGACTACATCGCCCAATTCCCCACAGCCCATCCTTTACTAAAAAGGGTTGATTCTGGTTCTTCCTCCTTCTGGGGAGAGACTCGTTACAGACACCCAGGAGCCACTCCGGCTTGTCTTTCACCTCCACCTCCCAGTACTGCCTGCCAGAGCTGTACCCCTTAGCACCCAGTACAGCGGGCCAGATGTAAAACTTTTTTGGGCTATGAGGTAGTTTTTGTGTATTTCCATAACCCACGGTTTTCCTATCCTCTGAGATAATAAGTTTACGATGTGCTGTTTCGGGATCTAGAAGTACATCTACTCGAAATCGCTTAATAATTTTGTTTAGTCCAGAATATTGTGGAGGAAGCCGGCAACTATAATCTTTGAATTGGAATGAAAAAACTTCAGGGCATTTTAAACTTTTATATCTGCGGTAGATGCTCTTAACACTTGTCAGCAACTCAACTTCTGACTTTACATATTTGTTCTCTATCTCCTTTAATAGATATTTTAATGCAGAGGCGTGATCTGAAATGTGTGTTAGCCTTTCACTTAGTTTTGCTAAAATCTCCCTCTCTTCATCTTCTAATTGCCTAAGAGTAGTCTCTTGCTCATTTTGAAGAAACAGCATGAACTGTTCAAATTCAGACTTTATTTCTTCTTCCCTACAATCTACCTTTTTCTTAAGTTCCCCTGACTTTCCAGTCTGCATAATAATCACTTTTTCAATTTGTTCCAATCTCTCCTTCCAGAGCTCCATGTGCTGCTCCAGCTGTTTCTTATGATAGACAGCAGCCTTCTCTATGGGCCAGACATAGTGCTGCTGGTGATCAGCAGAGAAGCTGCACTGGGGACACAAAACCTCTAGGTCCTTCTGGCAGAAAACGGTCAGGACCTGTTTATGCTTCTCACACATAACATTCCCTTCCTCCCTTTTTCTCTTGCTCCTTCTCAGAGGCAGTAGCTTAGCCACTTCAGTCAGATTACCTAGCTGGAAATTGTTCTGGAATTTTCTGTGTGGACAGAGATAATGGCAAGAAGGGCAGGGGAAACTGCCTTTCATATCCTTCCAGGACTCACTGATGCAGGCGAGGCAAAAGTTATGCCCACAGTATATTGTCACTGGGTCTTTCAAGTACCCTAGACAGATGGGACAGCTAGCCTCCGCCTGGAGGTCTGCCAAGGCAGCCGCCAGCTCCATTGAATTGGAACCAAGGCAGTGGGCAAGGAAATGCTTCTTCAGTAAGCCTGGCTTTCCCCGGCAGCGCCCAGTAAGAAGGGGGTGTCCTCTCCTAGACTACCTTGAACACCAACCAGCTCTCAGCCAGCCAGCACACTGAGGGCAGCCTCTAAAAGCCTGCTTCAAGGTCTGCACCTAACAATACTCTGGAGTGTACACTCTATTGAGCATCAGAAGGTATTAGACGGCTGCAGCTCTTTCCGTTCGGTCATCTGAGGTCAGCTTCACAGCTTTCTTATTCAAGAAAGTAACCCCAGATCCAAAATAAGGGATCTTTCTGTGTGAAGATCTAAGTATCTTCATTGAATGTCATTTCTTTAACCTTGCTGCAGGCATACACAGTTGGCCTTCAATGTCTTCAGGAATACAATCTGAAGATTCAACACTGTGGGTGAAAAAAGATGTTTCAGTTAAAACTCTGATTCTATAATCACTAATGCTGTAAAACAATCATAAGAGTTATACTATTGTGTATTAAATTAGGTGCAATGAAAATAATCATAGACAAAAAACAAAATGTTCGTGTTCTTAAGAGATACATAGTGAAGCATGGGGGCAGTATTATCTGGATGGCAGCAATGTACTTTTGGAACATTCAATAATCACACACACACACAGTACAAATGTAGCAAAAGATTAAAAATTAGTGGGCCAGGATTTAGCTCAGTGGTGCCACTGCCTGCCTCTCAAGTGCAAGGACCCAAGTTTGATACCCGGTACCAAAAAAAGAAAGTAGTAACTGGTGAACCCAAGCACAAAGTATACTGATGTTCAAGCAAATGCAATTCCTCCATCCAGCTAGCAAGCCATATAACTGTCAATGCAATATTCTTTCCCTTTCTCCCTCTCTGGACAGTCTTCCCCAGCACTGGGGACTAAGCCCAGGGCCTTTCCCCAGAGCGACAACCTCAATGGCTTTTTGTTTTTGTTTTCCATTTTATATTTTGGCACAGGATCTTGCTGGGTCAAAGCTGCCCAGGTGGGCCCCAGTCTTGCAATTCTCCTGCCTCAGCCTCCAGAGTGGTAGATTACTGGTGTGCACCATCAGACCTGGCTATTACTGAATATTTCCTCAAATCTTTCACCTTCCTTACAATGCAGCAACAGTGAGAATATTAGTATGAGCATGGTTCTGACAAGTGAAACTGGTTCCGTCTTGGTGATCTAGCAAATTTTTACTACAGAGACTTTCTTTTCATACCAGCATTAAAAAAAAAAAGTCAAATGGTACTAGAAAGTTTTCATGTTCCAATTATGCCACAGTCAAGATGTGGCTCTATCTTAGATCTGTACAGGCAAAAGCTATCACGCAACAGTCTAAGGGAAGCAGTGCTGGTGCAGGGGCAACACCTACAATCCCATCTGCTCATGAGACCAGGTCAGGAGGACTGCAAGCTCGAGGCTAGCCCTGTAAACTTAGCGAAATCATCCCAAAATAAAATTAAATAAATCGAGCTGGGGATGTAGCTTTGTGTCAGAGCACGTGTTTAACACATGAGCTCTCAGGCTCAATCCCCAGTGACACACAAAGAATAAATATTATTAAGAAGACCAGGGCTGCTTGGTGTGGTGGCGTATGCCTACAATCCCAGCACTCGGGAGGCTGAGGCAGGAGGATCGCTGTGAGTTCAGACCAGCCTGAGCTACATAGTGAGTTCCAGGTCAGTCAGTCTCAACTACATAGTGAGACCCGGTCTCAAAAAACCAAAAAGACCAGGGGCCAGGGATTTAGCTCAGTGGTTCCGGTGCCTGCCTCACAAAAGCAAGGATCCAAGTTCAATCCCCGGTACCAAAAAAAAAAAAAAAAAAAAAAAAAAAAAAAAAAAGACGGCAGACTTGAATCCTGGTTCAAGTACTTACTGTGTGAAGATCTAAGTATCTTCATTGAATGTCATTTCTTTAACCTATAAAATAAAAATTACAACAATCTTCTTGATATGAAAATAGTACACCAGTGGTAGTTATTACATGGTTACTTTCTTGGTCAGAGATGGTTTCTGTTAGATATAATGAAATATGGACGCAACCAAGGTCTACACACTGCATCTGCTTACTGGTTCTTTTAAATCTTTTTCTCTACCTTTGCCCTGTATGATATTGAGTTCTAGATTTGTCTACTGCTTCATTTTCTTTTTCTTTTTTGAGACAGGTCTATGTAGTTCAAGCTGGCCTTGAACACACTATGTAGCCTAAACTGGTCTCAAACTCATGGTGATTCTCCTGTGTTGGCCTAAGTGCTGGGATTATAGACATGCACCACCACGCCATCTTATTTCTTCATAATTTAACTGAGGGTCCCATACTTGTGATAGGCAAGTACTGCAATATCACATCCTCAGCCTTTTAAAATTTTTGAGTTTCTTTAATTTTGCTCAGGATGTCCATGAACTTGAGGTCTTCCTGCTTTTTAGGCTCCAGAGTACTTGGTATTATAGGAATGTGACACCTCGCCCCCCCTGCACTGATGGATTAAAATGATTAAAAGTAAAGATTTAATCAGTTTAAAAGTGAAGGCTTGCAGGTTTTAGTAGCTCATGCCTGAAACCCCAGAACTCTGTTGGGTTGAGGATGGCAAGTTCAAGGCCAACCTGGGTTACACAGAGTCTAAAGACAGCCTGAACAGTGAGACTTTGTCTCAAAAAAACCCAAAATCAACCAGTCAGTAACATCCCATAAGCATGGACAAAGTTTCCCACTCTTACCATTCAGAGTCATTCATATTTCATGATCTTCATCTCAAGACACATCTTTAAAGCACTTGGTTTTGTTTTGTTTCTTAAATAGGAGCATGCTTTCCTTCCTCTGAATAAACTGCTTACTCCTTAGACTACTTTTTTCAGACTAACTTTTGTTCTTTGTGGACACAAAGTCCCAAGGAAATGCTCACTAATATGGCTCAATAAGCAGAAGGCACTATGCTATGGATTTTCCATGCAGTTAAAGATTCAATTAAACCATCAGAATAATTCCGTAAGTTAGGAACTACTATCCTCAGTTAAAATTGTAAGAGCTGAATCTACAAAAAATTTGAAGATGCTTATCCAAGCTTTATAGTACTTGGCACAGTCTCTGGCATAATAAGCAGTAAGTGGCATTGCCTGTTTTTCACATTCTCACAGCATTATATCCATCCTTGTATTTCTACATCGCTTATTCTGAAGCAGAAAAATAGGCTGATTGATTCTAGCACAGTGAGAATGAACAATATAAATCGAGAGGTAGAAATACTTGACAGGACTATACTTTCCTCCTCCAGCTCTTCTACTTAACTAGTTATATATACTTGGCAAAATTAATTTTCCTGAATTTTTTTTTTTTTTTTTTTTTTTGGTACTGCAGATCAAACTTAGGTCCTTGTGCTTGCGAGGAAGGTGGTAGAACCACTGAACTAAATTTCTGGCCCTCTTTGAATTTTTTAAAGTGCAAGTCTAACTGAAAAAATAATCTAAGGCCATATCCTTGCTATTTTACATATGCATAATAAAAGTTTTACCAGACTGTAATAAAACAAAGAATTCATACACACCTTGCTGCAGGCATACACAGTTGGCCTTCAATGTCTTCAGGAATACAATCTGAAGATTCAACCAATCTAGGACTGAAAATTTTTTGGGAAAAAACCATTTGTGGTGAACATGTACAAATCTTTTTCCTGGTCATTATTTCCTAAACACACTAAAACAGCAATTTACATATAATTTATGCTGTATTAGAGATGATTCAAAATATACAGGAGGATGTGTATAGCTTGTGTAAGAATACAACACTGTTTTACAGAAGGAACTGGTACATGGGAGGATTTCTGCATCCAAATGGGGTCTTGGAACTAATGTCCTATGGACACCTAGGGATGACTACACATCTTGGACTCAAGGTCCCCCATTTTTTTGGTACTAGAGATCAAACTCAGGACTCCACACTTGAGAGGCAGGTGGCAGAACCACTGAGCTAAATTTCTGGCCCGGGATGACTACACTTCTACTTAACCATGTTTTACTTCATTAAGTTGTATGAGGTATGATCAAAACGTACAATGCTTACATTTAAAAACATAGTAAAATATACATTGCCAGTAACCCTCCTCAAAATACTCCACCTTTTAACACATTTATCCCATCATTCCTGCCACTTTCTAAAGCAGTACTGGAAGTCTGTTTTGATAAGTGTCACTATGAGGTTGGATTAAAAATACAGCGGGCCTGAGATTTAGCTGTTGTTCTGCAGCCTGCCTAGCAAACGCAAGGTCCCTAGTTCTATCCCTGGCATGACACACACACAAAACAAACAAAAAACAGTGAATGCTGCAGTCAAGCGCCACCCAAGGGAAAAGCAGGTGACAGAAAAATGATATGCTCTCATCTACACCTTGTTCACTGTATCTGACTTCCACAAATGCTTCAGAAAGAGTCAAAGTCAAGGGATAAGAGTGTTCAAAATAAGGAGTATTTTGAGGGGATTAATATCTATTATTGTAATAAATTCTTACAAATTGAAACACCGTTACTTGTGATCGCATGGTGCATAATATAAATTTCTGTGTGTATATATATTTATTTGGGGGGAGGACTGAGACAGAGTCTCATTATGTAGCCCAGGCTGGCCTTAAACTCCCAGTGATCCTGCCTCAACCTCCCAAGTGCTGGGATTACAGGTGTGCACCACTATGCCTAGGATATAAATGTATATTTACTTACATGTTAAATACTCTGATAATCAACCTAAGAGCTGTTGTCTCATCTGGTTCCTAAATCCTTAATGACTAGTCAAAGTGTTCTTGTCCCAATGGGTTTGGTGTGAGAGTGTTCTTCAGGAAAATCACACTGAGGAAAGAAGAGGAAGAGGGGTGAAGTTTTAGAATTTCAAAATAAATTTTATTTTTTAACACTAAAATATATCTAACCAGTAGAAAATTCTAACTCAGACAACTACCTAAAAGAAAGCATAATGTCTCTTCTAAACTACTATCTGCCCACACAATGTGTGGCGATGGTGAGTACTGGCTAAGGCTATGGTGATTTTAAAAAGTTTTTTTTGGAACCGAGGGTGGAACCCATGCTCTGTGCCAGGCTAACGCTCCCCCAACAAGCCACATTTCTGGCTCCTATTCCCCCCTTTTTTTTGAGACTGGGTCTTGCTATGTAGCTGCCTTGAACTCACAATGATATACTTTTAAATAGGTACTTTTGAGCAGGTCAGAAAAGACACAGACACAGAATGCATGGGAACTGGGGGGGACGAGGCACAGAATGGTCAGAGAAACTGAGATTGTGGGAGTTTTAAGAATGTTACCCAGTGTCACACAGCTGGCAAATTGTGGAGCAAAACTAAGAAAATTAAAAAGCCATAAAAATATACAATACTCTTTTTTATAAGACAGTATGTACAAAAAAGGGCTCTAGTATTAAGGGACACAACAGGTACTCACTCCAGGCAATATTGTGCCACCTATTCCCAAGCACACACACAAATTAAGTCTTCTCTACATGTCAGAATCAGGCCATTACATGAACACAAGAGCTTTGTAGGGACTGTCACTACTTACTCTTTCAAGCTAACCATGTCTCCCTCCTGAATATACAGTGGTACCTTCAACCAATTACTAAGTCTGTAGCTAAACTGGCATTTTCAAATACAAATATAATCTTTTCATCTTCCCACTTAAAGTCAGTCAATGCTTACTGTTATAAGGAAACAATTTTCAAGCCTTAGCTTCTATCAGCAACACCTAGAGGTCTAAGAGATTGTTGACCCATTTCCCAGGTGTTTGAAGCAGGTCTGTTTCTCGGGGTTTTTTTTTTTTTTTTGCAGTAATGGGGACTGAACCTAGTATAGTTTTGGCAAGCACCATTGTGCGACATCACCAGCCCCACATTTAAAACAATTTTTATTTTGTGCTGGTTGTGCTAGCAGCATGCCTATAATCCCAGCACTCAAGAGGCTGAGGCAAGAGGTTCACTTACAAGTTCAAAGCCAGTTTGAAATACATAAAATTTTGTCTAAAAAACTTTAATTTTGAGACAAGATCTCACTAAGTTGCCCAGGTTAGTCTCAAACTTTCGATCCTCCTGCTTTGGCCTCTAGAGTAGCTGAGATTATAGTTGTTTGTCACCAGGCCTTGCTAGTTCTCAAATGATGCTGCTGGCCTGGGGATCACGCTTTGTGAACTAGTGCTTTAAAGAAAGCAAATTTAAATCTAGTTTCAGCCCTCTTACTCTCCATCATATATCATAGCTGACATTTTTTATTTTAGCCATCTTTTAGCTAATGTGTCCAAATCCCCACTAGAATGTAAGGTTCTTGGCGAGCCTACGTCTTTAGTTTTAAATGAGTAAATAAAATCTATAGCAGATTCCAGTTTTCAGTTTCAATCACTGTCATAATAGACCATTCTCAACGTGCATTACCCTAAGCCAGCCCACCTGCAAATTAAAATGGCAATTTCTAAGCTGTGAAACGCATATTAAGAGGCCAGGCATGGCAGCGCAAGCCTGTAATCTTAGCACTCAGGAGGCTGAGACCTGAAGACAGCAGCAAGTTCAAGGCAAGCTTAGGATACATAGTGAGTGCAAGGTCAGAGTCTGTCTCAAAAACACCAAAGCAAGCAAAAAAAATGTCCTGTGTGGCTCAAGGGCTGATTAGTTCAGTCAGAGGAGCAGGATGTTGGTGCGTGGGTTCTCGATGGGGTCACTGCTCCCAGGTCCCACTTCAAACGCCACAGTGATTTTTTGGCGAAAACGCGGCCCCTTCACAAAAACTCTTTTCAACTAAAGCTCCTTTGAAACCTAACTGGCCCAGGCCCCAGCCTCCACTCTCACTCCACTGACCCAGGCCTAAGAGCTTCTACTTTCCACAGGTCCTTGGGACTGAGACCCACCACAGACACGCGCGACCCTGAGGCCTGCTGGCTCACTCCAGACGCTGGGGAGGCTCTAGCTGAGCAAACTTCGTGCCTGGCGCTACTGGGCCCTTTCCCCGGCCCTAGCCGTTTACCTGGAACAGCTGCTCCACTGCTTGGCCCGACAGTGTCACTAACACAAAAGCAGAGCTCAGGAGCGCGCAACTGAGAGCGCCAAACTCCAGTCAGCACGCGGCTCCCAGCGTCCTCGGCGGCCGCGCTGTGCATGACGGGTACGCGCGTACAGTGGGCGGGAACGGGACCGCGCATGCGCAGTGACCGTGCATCCAGGGCCAAGCGTGAGGCGGTGCTGAGGGTCAGAGGTTGGCTCCCTGATTGGTAAGGCCGCAGTCGCTCTGAGCGCACCCTTTAATTCCATTTGGCAGTCTTCTCACATTTTTTTCTTTTTTTTAATATTGTGAATACTCGGGCCTTTGCACTGAGCTATATCTCTGTCCTTTTTAATTTTTCCTCGAGACGGGCTTGCTAAATTGCTGAGCTGCCTCAGGCTAGGCTCGAATTTATGATCCTCCTGCCTCAGCCTTCCAGAGCGCTGGAATTATAGACGTGGCACAATGTCTGGCCCTTTTCAGTTTCCTATGACGATGTTTTTGTTGCCATGAGAGACCAGCGCATCACGGGTAAGGTTGCAGGCTGGTTTTAGGTTGTTTTGTGTTTTGTTTTGTTTTTTGTTTTCTCCTTTTTGCATTGCTGGGGATGGAACCCAGGCCCTGTGCCTGGTGGACAAGCGCTGTGCCTCTGAACCATGACCTCTGCCCTACAGGCTTTTTTTGGAGACAGGGTGTGGGTTTGCAGTTTAGGCTAGCCTTGAATACCCAACCTTACGGCAGGTTTTAAAAGCCTCTGTGTAGGCTGCACCTGGTGATGCATGCCTATAATCCCTGGAGTGGGGGTGTGGGGAGGCTGAGGCAGGAGGATCCCTCGAGTTTAAGACCAACCTGGGCTATATAGTAAGTTCAGTTCAAGGCCAGCCTGAACTGAGTAGCCCTGTCCCAACCAATAAAACAGAACACCCATAACAAAAAGTTGCCCATCAGAGCCTCCTTTTCACAGGGTGAAGAAATAGAAGGCTCTAGAAAACTGCTTCACAGGGCAGGGTGGTTTTAAAATGAGCGGCTTTCACCTTGGAAATGAAAGAGGAACTGGGAGCAGTTTTTATCTCAGTGGGTGAGTAGATCTTGCTCATCTTACCAACTCAAAGCAGAATTTGAATGATTATGAGTTGGTTGAACAAATTGGAGAGCAAAAGTCTTCAAGGCTGAAGTAAGAGCCTTTAAGGATCCTGGTGATGCCTAAGGATTGAACCTAGAGCCTTTGTGTTTAAGACATAGGACTGAAAGAAGTCATTTGACTGCCCTAAAGGGAAATGAGGACAGGTGTGGCAGCAAAAGCCTGTAATCCTAGCACTCTAGGAGGCCGAGGCAGGAGGATCACAAATTCATGTTTAACCTGGGCAGTTTAGCAGCTTGGTGAGGCCCCATCTCAAAAAGGGCATGGTCAGGCATGCCTGTAATCCTAGAATCCTAGCACCAGAAGGCTGAGGCAGGAGAACTGTGAGTTCAAGGCCAGCCTGAGCTGTATATGGAGACCTTACTTCAAAAAGCAAAACGAACAAAAAAGGCTGAGGATGTAGCAAAGTAAATTTTAAAAAAATAAAAATTTAGAAAACAGTAGAAGCCCAAGTGCCCATCAACTGGAGACTGGATAAAGGAAACCATTTTAAAAAATAAAATGGAGTACTACTCAGCCATAAAGAATGAGAAATTAGATGAGCTGGGTGTGGTGGCGCACGCCTGTAATCCCAGCACTTGGGAGGCTGAGGCAGGAGGATCACTGCAAGCTCGAGATTAGCCTGGGCTACATAGTGAGTTCCAGGTCAGTCTCAACTACATCGTGAGACCCTATCTCAAAAAACTGAAGGAAAAAAAAAAAAAAAGAAATTAGAGACTTTTATAGCTAAATGGATGCACATTGAGAATATACTTTTAGGTGAAATAAATAGGACACACATGTAAATACTGAGTAGTTTCTCTGGTATGAGAAACAAAGTATAAATAAGGATTAAAATGAATAAAAAGGTGAAATAGGAAGAAAAGGTCCAAAGGTGTAGGGGAGGGTGAGGTGTTAGGGGAAGGGGAGGGGTAGGGGAAAGGAAAAAAAAATGAGATAAGAAATAAATGGAAACAAAGCTTTTGCAAATAGGAGGGGTGGAGGGGTTGAAGGTAGGGCAGGGGTATGGGGAAAAACTAAGAAAAACATACATCCTGTAAAGGCACAAGTTCCCAGTGGTGAGTGTAAATGTATGGTACACCTAAAATGTACCAATAAAATAATTTAAGAGAAAAAAACCCAGTAGAGGTATAGTATGCAGCAAAGGCTTTTGTTTGGATGATGAGATAGGCAAGTCAATGCCAACAGGCCTTTAAGGCAAAGTTGAGGACTTTGACTTTTACCAAGTGGAAAGAGAAAGCCAGTGAAGCATTTTAAATATGATTTTTAAACATAATGCAATCCCAGCTACTTGGGAGGCTGAGACAGAAGGCTTTTTAGATCCAGGCCAGCATAGGTAATTTAGATTCAGTCTGTCAGAATAATTTAAACAAAGTGAGAGGGGGTGAAGAGGTTGCTCAGTGACAGAGTGTACCAGGGTTCCATCACCAGTTACACACACACACACACACACACACACACCCTGTGATCCACACACACACAC